GGGTAAGGGCACCCCGAAGCCATTTCCCTGCATGGCTTTGGGAATGTCCCTCAGCCACATCCCAGCTGTAGCGGGGCCTCGCTCGTTTTAAGTGACACAGGCCCATGTGGCACACCCGTAATTCATTCATAAACATTTATTTTCATCTAAATCAGCACTCAGATGTGGCTATTGGTGGCAGTGCGGTTGCCGGGCAGGGCTCTAATCCACTGTGTGGGTGGGCCCGGATCGGGCCCTGGAATTCTGACAGCCCCACGACGCGGTGGGGAATTAAGTGCCCTGAGCCATCCCTTCGCAACCTTTTCCAAGGTGGGAAATCAACATCCCTGCCTGCTCTCTACAGATAAGACTGGCCTGGAGCGTGGCTGTGGCCAGCTTGAGTGGAAGAGCACATGGCCCTTTCCGGGGGCTCCTGCTGGCCGGGCAGCAACACAGTCACAGCAGCAGCCTGAGAGCAGCCTGTGTGCGCAAAGCGCCTTGTGTGCACCAGGGCGGCACTACTGTCAACAAGAAGCTGCCTGCCGGGGGTGGGGGGCAGGGGCCAAAGTCAGCCCTCAAGAGGGCAAGCTTGTATCAGGCCCCAGTACCCCTCATGGCCCTTAAATTGTCCCCGTGTTCAGGGCACATGGTTGGATGTCAGTGCCTGAACTATAGAATTACCTGAAGTCTGATTTTGCTGAATGTCATCACTGTATGTTCAATAAGTAAGTGTAGTCACTGTCCTACTTCACCCCAGGCTGGGACAATGAGCATAGGAATAGGCAGCAACAGTCACATTGTGGAATTCTTTCTCTTCTCCTTCCTTCTTTCTGGTCTCCCTCCTCTTTTTGCCCTAATACACAGAAAGGGTGGGACTGCACCCCTTTTCTCTCTCCCTGCCTGCACACTGGCGCCCTCCTGTGAGGCGTGCCTTTTACTGCTGTGTTACCAGGAAGGATGCTGACCAGCCCAGGGAGGTCTGGATAAGTTCTCAACGTTGCACAGCCTGGAGCCTGACGCCAGAGCATGTGAGCTGCCCGCTGGGAACAAGCAGGGCTCTCCCTAAATCTGCCAGGCTGTGACCTACGACAGTGACCTCCATATCCCCTGCAACAGACTGCCCTTGAGTCTCAGACCCAACTAATGATCCAGCTATCATCAACTTGGGCCTCACTTTTAAAAATGTTTCAACCAGCACAGCCCGGCGATGTAACAGCCGATGTTGTATGCACATTAAACACCAAATGATTGTTAACATATTTATTGAAGCTTAACAGGCATCCGATATATAAAAGATGACTCTCTTACAGGGCTGTCAGACCTCAATAAGCATGTTTAATAATTAATTGGCATTAAGCAAACACAATTGTGCGATTCTAAATTAAATGTTCAGTGAAGCGTATTGCGAATACAAAGCTACAATGGTGTCTGTTACTTAAAGTTCAGGCTGGCTGGCTTTTCCGTCCCAGGGAAATGAGCATAGGCGGTGCTGGGCAGTGGGGCTTCCTCCTTGAAGCCCCTCCCACCTGAGGACCCGCTCTCATTTGGCTCTAGGTTGGCCCTGCTGAGTCTCCTCCACTTCCTGGGCCAAGAGTTGTGCGGCGGGAGACACCTGCGCATTTCCGCTTTCCGGTGCCGAACCAGTTCTGCAGTAAATGAATTCCGTGAAGTCGCCCTTGGACTCTGAGTTTGCAGATACTGAACTGTGATTCCTGGGGTCCACAGGGAGCTTCCTGTGAGCCTCTGGCCACACAACCGATCAACTATAACCTGTGTGCTTCTGTTTAGAGTCGCCGTATTTAATATATATGGTTAATTCATTAACGTGAACCACGGAGGAGCCCAACAGCGCCGGCACTCAGGCCTGAGGGAAGCTTACTCTGCACAGGCGCATCGAGGCCTCCCGCTCTTAGGGCCAGCTGTCAGCCGGACGCCTGTGGCCCCTCTCAAAGGACCCCTTCCGTACAAATGAGTGCAGCCACCGTGTGGGTCCTCAGAAGCAAACACCAGATGATTCAGCTGTCTCAGCGCTGGGTATGCATAGGAAGGAAATGAAATCAGTGTGTGAAACATTCCTGTGCTCAACTCTTCATGTAAGTGCTTCTCGTACTAGCTGAGATGTGGAATCAACCTACGGGTCCATCAGTGGATGAATGGATAAAGAAAATGTGGTTCACATACACAATGGAATACTACTCAGCCCTTAAGACGAAAGCCCAGCATTTGTGACAACATAGATGAATGTGGAAGACATTATGTTAAGCAAAATAAGCGAAGCACAGAAAGACAAGTACCACATGATCTCAGTCACTTGTGGAATCTAAAAAGTTAGCTCTTGTAGAAGTGGCGAGTAGAAGGGTGGTTACCAGAGACCAGGGAGGATGTGGGAAAGGAAGATGGAGGGAGATTGATCAACAAGACCATAGTTACAGTTAGGAGGAAGAAGTCCCCATGTTCGGTGGCACAGTCGGGCGACTATAATTAGCAGTAACTATAGCATTGTTTATTTCAAAACAGCTAGAGGGGGGATTTTGACTGTTCTCTCCACAGAGAAAGGATGAGTGGTTGGGGTGCAGGGTAAGCTGACTGCCCTGATGTTTACATATACTCAACCAGCGCATTGTACCCCAGGGGCCTGCATGGTTATGATGTGTGCGGGGGAGCTGAGGGGAGAACAGCAAGATCACAAAAAAAGAAACAAAAATGTGAAAACGTGGCACTAAGTAGACCTTGAAAAGGACCCAAGCTTATAACGTGAAGGTGGAATTGAGAAGGCAGAAGAAGGTGGCCTCGTTCGACCTCAGCTGGGAACGTGCATGTCGGGCACTGGATCTCTGACCACGCAGCGCGTGTCCAACAGCGACCATGATGTGGGGTTAAAATGGGTTTCACTGGGTAGGCACTTTGCAAACACAGAAGCCGTGGACAATGGGTGCGGCTGTGGCAGATCGCATTACACAGAGCCGCCTGCTAGGAAGTGCCCGCGTCCGCTGCCCGCGCTGCACACACCGCGCTGGGTCCCAGGGGTGCGACCGCTCACGGTGTCCAACACATATTTATTGGATTCAATTGAGTCGTTTTTAGGAAAGGATCCAAACTAAATGTCATCGGAAAACGCTTTTGCTTTTCTTTAGTCATCATTTCTTTCCGAGTTCATTGCTGTTATTTATTACTTCTCTTTAGTTAATATTCTACCACAGCTTAAATTAACTTCAATGTCTCACCTGCCCCTAAATACTTGAGAGACTGAATAGTAAGCCACTGACTGTAGCAACAACTAATGTCTCAAGATTCACGCAGGAAAAAGGAAGTGTATGCCCCCAGCTCGGTCACACGTGTGTGGTAGTGAAAAACTGTCTCTGGGACCTTGTCCGTGTGTGAACAACCTGTCCTTGCGTGCCCTGCTGGGAGGGGTGGATTGATGCTTGAAACCTTAGAAGCAGCATCAGGAAGCAGTCCTGCAGCTTTGCAAACTCACTTTGCAGTGGCAGCCTGTTTAGCATGGGGTGGGCAGGCCTGGGGTTCGCTGAGACCCTCAGATCTTCGCAGGGCCCCTCCACCGATCCCCACTGTTTGTGTCTTTCTGGGAAGGTGGGGGTGCAGAGTCTGGAAAAACTATAGGTTTTGCAGGGATCCCTTGGAAAGTAACATTTGAACACTGGAATTATCTTCCTAGGGATTTTCAAACATACAAGTAAAGGCATATGAAATTTATGCCTACCACTTAAAGTTAGAAAACAAAGAACATAACAGCACATACAGCCTCAGCACCCCCTATGCATAATATTATAATATTATATAGTTATATGATATTTTAATTTTTTTGTGGATTTGGTCATTTACTCTTGTATGCGTACTTCTTAGTACAAGTTTGATCCTACTACATAGAAAAGTTAGTGTTCTTTTTTCCCCGCTGAATGTGGCATCTCAAGGCTGTCCCTGTATCAAACCATTCATGTGACCCTGGTTTCAGACAGCTGCACTTCTGCACCCATTGACTGGTTGGGTGACATTTCCCTGAGCCTTCTACTATCGTCAGGCATTGTTTCTAGTTTTATTACTTTTTAAATTTAAAAAAAAAAATCTACTTTTTATTTTTCCCTAAAGCTAGTCCATATCTGGGATTATTCTTAGCTCAGATGGTCAGAGCAGTTACTGGGTCATAGGTGGAGAGATTTTTGAGGCTCTGGGTCATGTGGCCCAGTCGCTCCACGTGGTGGGGGAGGGGGCATCTCAACGGGATCTTCACCAGCCCTGGGTCTCAGTTTTAAATCTTGGGGAAGTGTAAATGAGACGCAGAGTTGTTTGCTCACTGTGGCCTTGTTCCACACCACACCCACCTTCCTGTTGGCCTTGAATTCTGTGTGTACAGGGGGATGCGTGTGAGGCACCGCAAATTACAGTGGAGAGGTTTTTATTTTAAATTCATAACATTGGGCCCGAGGATGTAGCTCAGTGGTGCCGCCGCCTGCCTCGAAAGGGCAAGGTCCTGAGTTCAATCCCTGGTACCAAAAAAAAAAATTCATCATATTGGCAAACCATTTGTCTTTTGCTTTTCCTCTTCCTTCCTTTCTCCTTCCCTTCCTTCTTCCTTTTTCCTTCCTCCCCTTTCTCACCTCCTTTCTCCTCCACCCCATCTCTCTCGCACCACTGATTGAACCCACAGCCTTTGCACTGCACTACACCCCCAGCCCATTTGTTGTTTTGCAACAGGGTGTCAGTAAACTGCCAAGTTGCTCTGGCTGTTCTCGAACTCACACACTCCTGCTGCCTCCTTGCCTCTCAGCTGGGATTACAGGTGTCTGCCACCACTCCTGGATCCCTAGAATTTCTTGAAAGAATCTTTTCTACCACAAGTTTCTTTCTAGTGTCCTTGAGTTATTATTTGGATTTACTCATTCAAATTTTCTCTCTCTCTCCCCCCGCCCCGTCTCTCCCTCTCTCCCTCTCTCCCTCTCTCCCTCTCTCCCTCTCTCCCTCTCTCCCTCTCGCTTTCATTTTCCTACCAATGGAAAATGCAGCTCTTGAGGATGACGATTGCCAAGCAAAGGCTCGGAGATGAAGAAATTGGTGTGCGCCACTTTGCAGCCCATGAGAGGGAAGACTTGGTTCAGCAACTGGAGCAAGCGAAGGAACAGGTTGTCATGAGTGTCAGTCAAGGGTGTGGGTGGGTCTGCACAGCTGGGCGCAACCCAAGGGCAGATGGGTGCCCTGTATCCCCTTGAACACTGGAGATGGACAGAGCTTGGCGCTGAGTGCTGTACTCCTGGGTGCTGCATCAGGTTCCCAGCTGACTCTTGGGTATCCGGCTGACACAGGTGCCACTGTTTAAAACACAACTGGAAACTCTTCCCCTGCCCAGGATAGGCTGGGAGGGACCAAAACTCAACAAGCTGGCCTTAATTTGCCATTTCCACCAAAATGCCCAGTGATGCTCCTTGGGTAAAATCTCAGCAGGGAGCAGCTAAGAGAGTCTGTCACTCATTTTCTTCCTGTTGCTAATTGGTTTTGAATAGCGGAACAAGACACTGGTTCTGGACTGGGTTGGAAGCATTATGCATTTATAAGGTGCCAGCAGTGGTTTCCAGGTTCTGGCTTCACCCTCTGAGAGCCGGTGGCTGAAGGGCAACTGCAGGGCTGGGGTTCAGTTCTCGTCTCCTGAGCTGCTGTGCCTTGCCTACCCCGGATGTAGTAAATGCCTGGCAGCCCCTCGCTTCTAGCTTTTACCCAGTATGCAGTGGATGTGGTTTTATAGCATGCAAGTGATAATAAGAAACTCTCTAAAAGTCATTCAGCCGGGTGGGCGGCTCCATCTCTGGCCATAAAATGCCCACATCTGGGGACCATGTTGAGTGGGGGCACTTCTGGGGTTACAGATTGAGTCTTTGGAGCATGACCTGCAGGCCTCTGTGGACGAGCTTCAGGATGTCAAGGAAGAGCGGGCCTCCTACCAGGACAAAGTGGACCGGCTGAACCAGGAACTCAACCACATCCTGGGTGGCCACGAGAACCGCATCATTGACGTGGACGCCCTGTGTATGGAGAACAGGCAAGTGGGCATCGTGCTCAGTGCCGTGCTGGCCTTCTGGGTGGGACAGGCTAGAAGTCCTTTGCTGCCTGTTTGCATCTGAAAAAATTGCCTTCCAAGTGAAAACAAAGTTGTGACCCCCAATGCTACCAATGTCACATACTAGGCATAAAGTAAGGGAAGAGGCACGGCACACCCGTGCACAGGACTTTCTCTCCCCCCATACCTTCCCGGGGAGGCCGGCAGGGTGAGGAGCCAGCAAGAGCTACTTGTTATTGCTATCAAGGAGCGGGAAAAGAATAAGAAAATAAATTGAGAAATTCCCTTAGCTCTTTCTTCTCCCCGAGGCAGATTTCAGTGTGTGTATGTGTCTCACTTAATGTTATGCCTGGTGTCGCCTCGTCTTGCCTTGCTTCCCGGTGGAATCATCTTAATGAGAATTATGTGAAAACTGTGTTGAAGTCCCTTAGGGGATCTCTGCGGGGGCTGTTTTAGAGTGGGGTGTCAGGGATTTGGGCATGTTTGACCTTGATCACATCCATTTAAGGAAAGGTCACAGAGATGTACATTTTTCTCCTCTTCCTTTCCGGAATGAGAAGGAAGGCATTATGTGTAAAAGATAGCTTTTCTTGAAAGTTGTTTTTATTTTTTCCTCTTCTAGTTTAGCGTAGGTTTTTCATTTTTCCCCCAAACACTCCTGGTGGGATATATTCTTTTCCAGGTACCTTCAAGAGAGATTAAAACAACTCCACGAAGAGGTCAACCTCTTGAAATCGAACATTGCCAAATACAAGGTACTGAAATCATGATGATAATGTTGGTGATTCACCATTATACATCTAAATGTCATCCTATTTTAATTCTCTTTTATGTGCCAAAGATATTTTAGTGCTTGCCTGCCCTCCCAGATAGAGCCCAATAAGAGTTTTATCCAGGGTAACCAGTAAAAATTAACCCCCAGACAGCAAACAGCATCAAAGCAGCTTCTGTCAGAGCCCCTTCTATAGCTGTAGTCAACCAGGCATCCGGAGACCTCCAGAATCTGAACATTTCTACTTTACAGACTTGGTCCATGTGAAATTAGAGTTCCTATCTATTTTCTCTGTAAAATGTGCAGTCATCAGATGCTATTTGTCTCATAATCATCCATAAGAAAATGGTTTCTGAGGGAGGAAGAAACAAAGATTGGGAAATCACACTCCAAACGATAATGTTCACGTCACATTGAAAGGACAGGGTGTTTGAATTCTCCCCACTGTTATTTAGTCTAATTCCAGCACCATTAGTTTGATAATATCTATTTCTGCAGATGTTAGTTGTAAGTGTTATAATTAGAAAAATCTCCTGGGTTTCTCTGCTTTGAAAATAGACTGATTTCTCTTCCTGAGGGTGAAGTTTTATACCAATCCAGATGCATGGGAGAGCCCACTCATTGTCCTGGTTGTTAGCATGATCTTTTGTTCTCAGAAATTTCCATGCTTTTTCATTCCATAGGTGGCACACATTATTCTATGCCAATCTGTAGATACACATGCAGCCAAAGAAACAGACAGATTTTAATATGTAATTTAAAAAATATGTGGATGCATTCATTTAGCATTTATTTTGTTCTATGTGCCGAGCAATGATACATACAACATGTCAATTTTTATGCACGAGTTCACCCTAAGAATGACGCATAGGCAGCACATGTGTGCTACCTTAATCTTGTGTCTGTGGCCAACATCACTAATCGATCATGGCTCTCTTTGCAATCCAGGGACCAGACCGTCTAGATACCACCACTGGTACATGAAAGTAAACCTAGTCTCCATTTTATATTTGTTCCAAGGGGATTTCCATAACTAGACTTTACACATCAGACTGCATCCTTTCTTCAGATTTAATTTAATTTGATGAACATGCATCAAGCAGCCTTTGAATACAGGGGGCTGTAATTACTATCATTTTGCTATGCAGCAGCTTTTTACAGAACTCTTCCTGGATCTGTAAAATCCCTAACTCTGGCAAGGACTGTGGACTCCTCGTGTGGATTTTGGGAGGGGTTCTTGCTGCCAATGGGTGGATGCATCTCTTCCAATGTGGTGTTTTTACATCATTGGTTTTTCTAACAAGTGTTTTTATTTCCTTTCAACGCTGCGGTAGAATGCTCTCGAGAGACGGAAAAACTCGAAGGGCCAGGGCAAATCCAGCAGCAGTGCTCTGACTGGAGTCCTGTCTGCAAAGCAAGGTAGGCACTCATGGTCCAGGTGAGACCACTGAGAAACACAAAATGCTTCAGCTGTGGTCCATATCATGTCCAAGCTGCTGGGTTTGCAGATGGGGAGCCAGACAATTCTAGAAGTGATCTCTAAACTTGTACCAGCATGGGAATCACCTGGACGTCTTGTGGTAGCCCAGAATACCCGGCCTGCCCCAGAGCTCCCAATTCAGCAGGTCTGTGGTGCGCGCCTGACAGTAATTCCAAAAACTTCCCAGTGAATGCTGCTGCAGGTTTAGTGGTCCCACTTTGAGAATCAGTGCATTACAGGTTTTCTGTGACTCATCCTATACCAGTGCACTTCCCTACCCCCAGTCACTGACTGAGCATCTCTAAGATATGCTTCCCTTCTTGAGTTTCTCCTTCTCCTGGCCTCTGCCATCAGAAGAGAAAAGCCTGGTAGCTGCTGGAGTCATCTTACTGTGGAACATGTGCCTTTTTCAAACAAGCTTCTATTGATTGCAATTTTGTTCCTCCTTCTTATCGATTCCAATGAAAAATAATGATCTCCCAGAACAGGGCAGGGGAATAAATAGGAGGGAGCTGGTGTCCTAACACTTAATATTCAGAATTCAGCTCTAAACACAGGCTTAGTGTTGCGCATGCTCAGCTGGCCCATTTTCCCGTTATTGACAGTGCTGACAGCAAAGGCCACACGGCCGTCTCCATCCGAGCTGAGAGGCTTAAACAAAAAGTGCTGAGTCCCCAACCTACCTAACAACCAAGGCTCTGTTCCAAGCAACTTCTTTTGTTTCCACTCCACTAGAAAAGAGAATCCTAGAAATGTTTTTAAAAGAAAACTACAATTCTCTCTAAAGATGTGAACTGGCCCAACTATGTCTAGCCCTGGACGCCATAGACAGCAAACTGACTGTGGAGACCCAGCCGGACCTGGTGGCAGAGCTAGGCTCCTGACCAGACTTTTCTGAAAAGCCTACTATGCAAAGCCTATCACCAATGATCTATTGGCACTGGTAATCCAAACCTATAAATCTGTGGCATCTTAAACTGACCCCCGTTGAAGGTGCAAGAAATAATTATAGACATATGTAAACATTTTGCTACAGAAAGTACGTCATACATTAATGAGAATAAAAAACTAGAAGTGATGTAAACATCCAGCAGCAGTTCAAGACATTATTATGTATCTATGTATGAACTATTAAAGCAGCCATTAAATTTTATGTTTTGTGGGATATTAATGGTGCAGAGTATTGTCAAGTAAAAAAAGCAGTGGTTTCTCCATTTTTTGAAATCGCATGGGTTTTTTGTTTTTGTTTTTTAAGCTACATGTAGTTACAGAGGAAAAGCTATGCAGAGAGCTATAGGGAAAGATTTATACCATTGCTTTATTGTGACTGGAAGGAGTAGCAGTAGTTGGTGTATATTTGTGTTATATCTCAGCTTATTGACCCTTCCTAAAAAATGTGTGTTATTGTTGTAATAAGGTAGGATATTGGGTGCATTCAAACCAGACTTCTTCATAGGAGACTTTTCTGACTCAGAGTATCTGAAGAGCCCAGGGTGGGCTATATGAAGAAGTTCTGCATATAGATCAGCCATCCTGTGGAATGGGTTGGCAGCCATGAGAGCCATATAAGCCTTTTTTTTTTTTTTTTGAGACAGGGTCTCACTATGTAGTCCAGGCTGGCCTTGAACTTGCTATGTAGCCGAGGGTGGCTTGAACTTGTGGAGCTCTTCCTGCCTCAGCCTCCTATGTACTGGAATTACAGGCATGTGCCATCACACCTGGCTCATTTAAGCCATTTTGAGCCCAGACAGACAGAAATAGGGGAATGGAGTTTTAGCAGCATTACCAGTGAAAGTCATAGAGATTTTAGCAGACTACATTCTTCTATTATTTATTAATGGTGTTTTATTGCCAAAGAGGCTAATGAAATCTCACATTATATTAACAGAAGTATCCTCTTTGGAATAAAGGAGATGATCACATTAGTTTGTGCTAAGTTGGTTATACCACACCTGGACTATTCCTTTATGTATTTTCTAAGTGGCATGAGATGAATCAGAAATTATTTCTTAGACACTTTTGCAACTAGGCAGAAAGCGGGGGAATTTCCTATCAGACTTGTCCATAGATGACTGGAGATTTGTCAACAGAGACTCATTCAGGGCAGGGTGTGCAAGCTGAGCCACTTAACATGGTCTGAATCCTGTAGTTACACTGACCTCGGTATGTTGTTTGGCTTCATTTTGAACTTGGCCATGAATGTGACTTGGCAGTTTGTTGAGCAATAAGCTTCCAGGAACAGCTAGTCTGTGTGTAATGAACTCTTTCCCAACATTCAGATATTTGCAGGCCGCTTTGTATCTTCTTGTCATATCTTTGTGCCACTGAGGCTATTATTTGCTTGATATTTTTCTTTAAAGCAGTTTTAAAGTGACCCATTTTATGTGGCCCTGTCCTGCACAGTAGCATCTGTGAAGGTGCTGGTTTGTTATGCCATTTATTTTCTTTTGTATAGTACTGTCAAATAAGGACCTAGCTATTGAAAGCTCAAAAAAATATTTTGCATTATATGTAACTCCCTACATTATCTTGCTGCTTGCTAAGGTATCACACCATAGGAAACTAACACAGAGCAAGGATCTCAGGGTGAGGAGTCACTGTCATTTGCATGGCATGGTGGCCTTTAGGTGATGTTTTTAGACTGTCTATACCTTGCTTTCCTGTCGACGAAATAGAAACAAACGCTACTTCTCAGGTTTTAGGTTTTGTTTTTTCAGTTTTCAGTTTCAATGAGTTAGTTGGCATGAAAATGTTTAACATCCTAGGAAAATGCAAATATTATTTTTGTTTCAATAAATTATGGATGGCTGGGGGTGTAATTCAGCAGTAGAGCACTTACCTAGCATGCACCAGGTCTGGATTCTATCCCCAGCACTGTGAAAAAGAGGGTGCACGCAGATAATGAAACTCCTGCAGGACTTTTTCTTTTCTCTTTAACTCCTGTACTGAATTTTATTTTACTCTGGACACTTGAGGCAGACTCTCTCAATACAGTACAGTAGCATTTAGAAGCTGACAGCCTCCCGTTATCCAGGAAGAAATGACATTGGTTTGCAGTTCCATTTCCTAGAAAAATGTACAAGCAAGCTGTCAATTTTGTGTCCTCTCTAGTTCAGGATCTGCTCTCCGAGGATCACGGGTGCAGTCTCCCTGCCACGCCGCAGTCCATTTCAGACCTGAAATCTCTGGCAACTGCCCTGTTGGAGACGATCCATGAGAAAAACATGGTCATTCAGCACCAGAGGCAAACCAACAAGTAGGTGGCCAGACTCTGGGGGAGGGGAGGGAGAGATGGGACGAGACTACTGGAAGGGAATGGCAGCTGGGTGCAGCCACAGCCTCACCGGAAGACAGTGACATCCCTCGGTTCTAGAAGGACACGCATTAAACTAGAAGCATGCTTCTTCTTTATGTGAGACACGGTCTTGGCTGGAGGCTGGAGCTGGGCAATGCAGTCATCCCGGTGGTCACAGTTTGGAGACTTACGGGGGACCACACACTGAGTAATAAATACTCCATAGTGATTTCCTGGGTGACTTCGCCTACCTCTCCTCCAGGTCTGCTTTTAGGGGCGGACCTGCCTCAGTGCCATTTCAGCCTCACAGCTTAGAGGGCTCTGACTGGCATGAACCACCCAAGCATGTTCTTTAGGCAGCTGGACTTGTAAGGGAGGCCCATGGCACTCTTCTGGATCAGCAAAAAAAACATGGTAGAGAGAACCAATAAAAAACAGAACGCCTTTGTGTGTATGTGTGTGTGTTTGTGCGCGCGCGTGTGCGTATGTGGTGCTGGGGATTGAACCCAGGGCTATAACACTAAACTACATTCCCAGCCTTTTAAAAAAAATTTTTATTTTTTTATTTAAAAAAATTTTTTTTTTTGGTACCAGGGATCAAACTCAGGTCCTTGTGCTTGCACATCAGGCGATGAAACCACTGAGCTAAATCCTCAGCCCCCAAATTTTTTTATTTTGAGACAGGGTCTTACTAAGTTGCTAAGTTGCCCAGGCTGGGTTCAAGTTTGTGATCTTCCTTCCTCAGACTCCCAGAGTGCTAGGATTACAGGCTTATATTAGCATGCCCAGTTTATTGGGTTTTTAAAACACATTGACTATGTTGTATAAAATCAAGCCGATTAAAGTAAGTTAAAGTAGCAGTTAGAAACAACAACAAAACTGAAAGGTGTTCAGATAATGGTGAATAAAAACACTAAATTAAAACAATATATATTGCACACATTAATACATTTTCTGCTGCTATAATTTAATACTTGAGACTGGGTAATTTATTTAAAAAAGAAAGAAAGAAATTTACTTCTTACAGCTCAGGACGCTGGGAAGCCAGGATCACAGCACCAGCATCTTAGGAGGCCTCTGGCTATGTCATCACATGACAAAGGATGTCACATGCTGAGACAGAGCACGTGAGCTAGCTCATCTCTCTCCCACTAAGACCACCATGGGGACCCCACCTTATCCTGACCACCTCCAGCTTCTAGTGATGTAGGAATTTGGGGGGTAACTTCCCAGGACACGAACTGCGGAAACACATTTGGATCACTGGAAGGCAGCCTTGTTTCCTGTGAAGGTGTCGTGCCGCCGTCACTACCCTGACATTTATAGAAGGAGCTCACGGTTTTACTCTGAAGATTCATAGTAGATGAACCCTATTCACAAGGTCTACGCTGACCCGGAAGCAGAATGGACGTGTGGAAGCGCTAGGCTTCCGGCCAGAGGGGAGGGACAGGAGAAGGGGGACTGGGAGAGGCCTCTGGGAGATGATAGAAAGTACTGTGAAGACAAAATGGACAAGGGAGAAGACGAGCGCCCGGAAGACCACACAGGACACGAAGATGCCCATGGAAGAAAGCAAGGAGCGGTAAAGGGAGGCCAGAGCCTCCACGGGGTGACAAGGGCGATTTATTCCAGAAGTTTGTGACCATCTTCCACAATGAATCCTTAACCAAGGAAGCCTCCCCTTGCTGAAGAGCAGACGCTTTGCAGGGAGGAGGAAGGAGTCAGCATCTTTGAGTCCTGCTGGCCTCTGCCCTTCTCCCAGGCTCCGCTGCAGCACACAGTGCGCGGCTTTGTTCTTACTCCCTGCAGAGCACTTCGCCAGGGCTCTGGGGCTCTTTCCAGCCTCCTCAGGCCTTCTAGACCCTGATCCGTTCTCAGCAGGTGACCTCAAGAAAAACAGGGGCCACTAAGCATGAGCTCATTCACCGCCACCACCCTGAAACCAGCGTCTTCCTGACCTCAGCAACACAGGGCCCCTCTGATGGCCCTGTGTTCCACACCAGCCATCGCCTTTGGGGGGCTTTGCTCTCCTGCCACCTTCTCCTCAACCTCTTCAACTCCTCCCCTCCTCTGGCTTTTGCCCCTTCACCCTGAGCCTAGAAGCCTTTCCTCTACCTGCTGCCTCCCTAGGAGTTCCGGTCCCCTGGCATCACTCCCAAGGCCGCCTCCACTCTTCAGTGCTCCTGTCAAAGTGTGGCCGAGATCGTCTCCAGCAGAATGGCCTGGGATGGACACTTCATTAGACATGCAGACTCAGGGGGACATCTGTAAGCCCCGGGGAGTCCATGTGCAGGGAGATGCATGACCTTGGCTTGCTACCTCCTCAGACCTCTTCTGGCAAATTCCACTCAGTTCTCTGAGTCAGTCGCCAGTGTCTCCAAGCTCTACCTTTGCATTCCGTTCTTCTGTAATTCCTCCACAGCAGATCGCCATCTTGAAATTTCCTTTTCAGCCTCCAACTTTCTCTGTGGTCATGTTTCCTTTGCTGCCTGTTCCTTGTCCTCCAGCTCAATCCTACAGAACCTCTTGTTTCTGTCTCCTACATCGCTTTTCCCTGACCTCATTCCCTGTCCCCGCCTTTGCCTCTCATTCTCTGCAGACTCTCTTCTTAGAGTCCATCGAAGCATCTTCATCAAGGGCACGATCCCCATTTCCGGGTGCTAAGCTGACAGTTTCTCCTGGTATCCTTTCAGCTCCTCCCATTCAACAAATCTAGGACTTGGAACAAGCTTTCTGAATTGAATTACTTTAAAATGTTTATGCCCGTTGTCCTAGGTGGCCTACTTCCAGGAATTTATCCTAAAGAAAAAACTCAGAATGACTCCCTAGAGGTATAAGTATAAGGTTGTTCACTGTAGATTGATTATTAAGAATGAAAAAATGGAGACAGCCCACATATCCGTTAACTGGAGAATGGTAGTCTCGGAGTCCATCTAGAAGATGGAGTAGAACGCACCATTTAAAGTGAGCTTTGAAGAACATTTCATGTACGTTGGACAGAACCTGAACCACTCAGGGCTGAGCTGCCCCGGGGTCTGAATGTTGGGCCTGGGGCAGTCACTCCGTTGTCCTAGTGCTGAGGACAATGCTGGCCCCAGTGAGGCACAGGATGGTTTGCTGGGCGAGGATGGACCATCTGCTGACCCTCCATTCCTGGTCCCTTCACACCCCTGTCCTCCTGGTGGTCAGTCTGGTGGCTGTCCTGTGTTTGTGTCTGATGTACCTTTCCATAGCATGGGCCTGAGGGGACCTCTCCTGGGTTCCCCCCGCCTTCTTCCCCGCAGACTATCACCACCTCCACCCTCAGGCCCCAGCCCATCGTTCTGCCACACACCCACACCCCTGTGCACACCTGCTGGCTGCAGCACTGAGCCCCTCCTCCAGCCTGCACTGCAAAGCTGGGCTGAGTCCTCCCCACTGTGCCTCTCCTCTGCAGAAGCCTCCTGCTCCCCCTGGCAGGCAGAGGCCCTGTTGTGCTTCTCACCACAGCCCCTGCCGGCACAGTTTGCCCAGGTCCAGAACACTTTCTCCCTCTGTCGAGGAGACCGACATCAACTCCACCTTTTTTCTTTTCATTTCCTATTTTGAAACAGGGTCTCACTAAATTGGTAAATTTTAAAGTCTGGGCTCAAACTGAAAATCCTCCTGCCTTAACCTTCCAGAGTGCTGGAATTTGCCACCATGGTATTTGCCACCATGCCTGGTGCATGTTTAATATTTTAAAATAATTTTTAAGCCATTCCATGGTTAAATAACAATGGATCTCCGAACTTCTCCCCTCAGCTACCTAAGCTCTTTGCTGGAAGAAGCTATCCTTCCTCACATCAAAGGGGATGCATATATTAGCAAATACATTCAGATATTTATATACATTTTTTAAAACAAATGATAGCTAGGATTCATCACAGAAAAGTTTTTCTTTTTTAGAAATTTTTCTGCACCTTGATTTCCCCTATAACAATCGATCATGGAGATTGCTATATATCAGTACATGAGGTGCCTAATGTGCCATTTTTCATACGTGGAAGGTCTTAAGTTCCATATTTTCAGTAAATATTTTATTTGAGTGTGTAAAGAAACTATACTACAAATGAAAGGCTAAAAATAGACTGAATTTGGCCTGCTTACTGTTATCCCCCATGGTTTACCTTTGTAACCAAAATACTAAAACAGCTCTGGGATGGTGGTGTGGTATGGAGAGGATGAAGGTGCTCCGTTCCTTCCCGGTGGCATGTGCTCTCCCTGCTGGTGACCCAGTGCCTGACAGTTAGTTCCCTGTCAGGCAGAAGATGGCCCACAGCGAGCCATCTTGAAGAATGGTGAATAACACTAGGACTTGACATTGGGAGTGACATTCAGTGATTAGGCAATTTGTTTGAGGTTCTTCTTGCCAAAGAGTTGTTATCTGGTTATGGCTAAAGAAGAGATTGGGCCCATTCATCTAATAAGCTGGTGCAGAGCACTGCTAGGAGAGTCAGTGGCTGAAGTGATGTTTCCCTGAACGTGATTATGTTTCCCAGCCTTCCCACAAGTCCCAGGCGTGGGCAGTGGGTTTGGGGTGAATATATTAACATACTTTACTGCTCCCCCTAAAACTGTTTCTTCTTCCCCTTCCCTGGCCAGTGGCTAATAGGCTTGCAAGTTCAATATCTTGGGTAGCAGGGAAAAGGTGTCTTAATATTTTGAAGGCCGCCACATTGGGGTGGGGCATGGACAGTGGTCTTTACAGGTCATGTAGGGCTACAGCCACCTGCTCCCCCTGTTGGACTGGGCTCCCTTAAGGACGCTCACTCCTGGGATCCTGCAGGTACCACTGCAGCCCATTCCTGAGCTAGTTCTGTCTCTGCAGAGTCCTAACCCTACCACCCTCAGTGCTATCATTTTCATCAGAAACCATGCCGGAGCCAGGTGTGATGGCGCACAGTTATAATCTCAGCACTCTGCGAGGCTGAGGCAGGTGGATGCCAAGCTCAAGCCCAGCCCGGTCAACTTAGGAACTTACTGAGACCCTGTCTCAAAATAAAAAATAAAAATGGGGTGGGCTGCGGTAAAAAGGGAACCATGCTGGAATGTCTATCTGTAGACCTTTGTCTTGAGGATTTTCCTAGATGGCCTGGTAAATATATGCTGAAATCTTCCCTACTCTGAAAGAAACAAACAAACCCATAACTGAATAAAAACTGTATTAAAAAATATCCCAGCCTACCTGCTTCCCTGAAAAGCCTCTCTCAAGCCGCCGCCCTGGCTGTCCCCTGTGTGCCCTGCTAAACGCTCTGAGGAGTCGTCTCTCTCCCCATTTCCCTTAGCCTGGTGTTTCAGCGCTGTCCTTGGATCCTGGGTTTCAGTGAGCAGAGTGTGGTGGGAGAGGCTGCTTTGAGATGAACTGTGTGTCCTTGAACAAGTTGCTTAACCTCTCTGTTCCTCAGTGCCCTTGCCTGTAAATGAAGCATCACAATACAAGGTCTACCGTAAGAGTCTCTGTCAGCTTGGATGAGATAATGCCAGCTAGGTAGATGTTCAGCACAGCCTATGCCTCAGACTAGGACACAGGAAAGATTAGTCAGCGTTTCTGTTATAGCCGTGCAGTTGCTGTGTTGTTGATTTTGCTATTGTTACTATTACAACTACCGAAACTTCTCCTGGGCCCATTTTACTACCTCTAGTCCTGCTTCAGATGCTGGGAAGTTGATAAGTGTCAGATAAAAAAAAAAGCACCTATTACTGACAACTGGAGAAAGTCCCTGGAAGTAAATTGTTGGGGACACCTCCAAATTCACACTGTTCCATTTCTGGGCAAAATAGCTGTGTTGTCCAGGAACCCCAGAGAAAATAGAACCAAATGTGTCTGCACTGTGCCCTCACATGCAGGCCAAACAGCATCCCTCAGCATGCCCAGGAGAGCAGAGCTTTATCTTTTGTTTCAGAGAGCCTGCCACGAACAGATGATCTGATTTCGTTAAGAAACAGGTGTCGCATTGAGCACGGTTGTGATTGCATCTCTGGCCTGTCAGCTGGTGAAAGGGAGCTGGGATCAGGAGGTCTGGACAAAATATTGCAAGCAAGATTAGAGGAGCACTGTCTATGAAAAGGTCAAGGACCTGACAGCAAAAGAGGCCTGATAAATGGAGTGATGTGGAGAGTAATTGATAAAGACTATGCAGAATTTATAGACTTAAAGACAAGAAGAAAGAAAAAGCTCTAAGTACCCGAATGAGGAAAACTCCATACAGTAACGTCAAAGTGTTCTCTGAACTCAGAGGGAATATTAATTAAGATGCTACAGGTCAATTCAGGTAAAATAAGGATGAATCCAAAGCCATATATATGTGCAGACCTATACATATTCATGCCTCTCTATGTACGTGGGTGTGTGCAGCTATCTCTGGAATCTAAAGAGGGGTAGGAGAATAATTCTGCTCTTCTGATTTATCCTGCTGAAAGGAATTGAAACTTGGCTATTAAGGTGATTTCCACATCATTTTAACAGCAGTGCCAAGAAAATCCCCCAAATAAAATAAAGACTGGATTTTCAATTTCCAGACCAATAGAAAATGATTGAAGTTTTTGATGACTATCAAATCATTTGCCGGCTACATTTAATTTTGTATAGAGTGAAGGAGGATGTGTGTCCACATCTGTGTCCACTTATGCATATAGACAAAGTTTGGCTCCCCAGTAAACGGTGTGATCTTTCCCAGTGCATATTCTAGAACCTGATATGTTCCAGTGAGTCAGAAAGGACTTCTCAAAAGCAACAGCCTCTATTGTACTGATTCTGACATTCCTGAGCACTCCTTTGAAATGCTTATTTTAATTCTCTCCAAAGACAATTACAAATCATGAAAAAGAAAAGCATTTATGTAATCAAATATGTTTATTGAGGACCTACCCCATGCCAGGCATTGTGCTAAACATCCAGGCTGTGGGCATCCCCGGCCCATGAGTGGGTCCAAGAAGGCAGATCTTATTATTTTAGTCACTTACGAGTCACATTACCAAGCATTTTTGCCCTTCTTATTTGTTAGACTCAATTGTTTCCAGAAAGTCCAATTCATCCTCAAAGAATCGACATATGGTACTCCTAAAGGAATCCAGATTGCTATCCTTAGCCATGAGCAATTCTCAAGTAGGAAATTCCATAAGATGTTTTAGGGAATGGTAGAATAATTTTTTGCTTTCCCAGGGGAACCACTGGAAGAGGACTTGCTTGAATGGGATATAGATGTAGATGTAGATGTAGATGTAGATGTAGATTAGATGTAGATGTAGATGTAGATGTAGATTAGATGTAGATATAGATAGGTACATATCACACATGTATATATAATCATTCACCTTAGTTTCTATTTTCCTATGTGACTCAATAGAGTATGTGTGGCACATGTACATGGATACATGAGTTCCATTTTTAGCATTTATCTTATATTTCAAACCATTGTTTCTCTGTTCAGGCACTATTGGGTTTCCCGGGAAGCCACCTCTCAGCCCTAAAAGCTGACAGGTTATTCATTAATCTCTTGTCATTTTCTCCCCCTTCTAGAATCCTAGGGAATCGGGTAGCTGAGTTGGAGAAAAAATTAAGAACTCTGGAAGTTTCTGGTTTGTGGAGTCTTCCAGGTAAACAGAACTTCATGAAAACTGTTTGTTTTTACAAAGAAGCTGTCATACAGTTTGCAAAGAAGATTCTACCTTTTTAATGTCTTTTTATTTGTGGATCATTGCTAAAAAATCTACAAGTGTTTTAAATTTAGAAACCATCATAGAAGAAGACAGAATCAGAAAATACAATATTTAACTTCTCGTGTATGAGGCACTGAAGTTCTGCTAACCTAAATTCCGACATTGTCATTGTATGTGTCTGTGTGTATATATATCCTTTGTGAATATAGTGAATTGTTTCATTTTTACCTGCAAGCATTTTCTAAAGATTTGTTCAATGTAATCATCACTCCTAAAATGAATGTAAGAATATACAAAGATTTGTGCGATTTAATCATCAGTCCTAAAAATGAATATAAAGATCTTACAAAGATATGTGCAATTTAATCATCAGTCCTAAAATTGAATGTAAGCACATACAAGGATGTGTTCAGTTTAATCACCGGTACTAAAAATGAAGAGCCAACAAGTTTTCTGACCCAGTGTACTTCACAAGCACCCTTTTCTGCCTTCCACCGTCCCATTTTTTGTAACTCGAACACAAAAATTTCCTGAGGAATTTTCCCCCCGACGTTTTGCCCAACATGTGAGAAAACTGATGTTTCACTTTAATTAGCTGCATTTATCCCGTTTATCTTGGTAAAATACCCCTTTCAGGAGACCCCTGTCAGCTATTCCCTACTCTTTAGAAACTTATATTTATCATTTTCTCCCACCTCCTCTTTCCCTGGAAGGAACAGTGTATTTTTAGTTGCTTACCCTTTCCGCGCAAAGCAGTCTCCTGTCCTCTTGGCTTGTGTGGGCTGCTTGCCTGTAATGGATGAGAAATGAAAATTGCCACAGGGAGGTGGACACCATCCACTTTTCTTAAACGTAAATCTGAATGGCCACCTTCAGTTGCCTGGAAGTGTGTTTCATAAATTGGCATTTTGAGCCGAGATTCCTTGAACTTGATGTCAATAGACCTGACAGAAGTAATTAGTGGCAAGTGCTGTCCTGGGGATCCCAACGATCCATTTGACACAAGACCTTTTGGATGCTGTTACAGGCCTTGCTTTTACTCCACTGAATTTCAACGCAGCCGGGAAAATGTGTCACTTGTTTGTAGAATCAGGTTGCCATTTCTGTGCATGTACCGACCAGAGTTTTGATTTGTTTCTTCTCCAAATGACTAGTGAAAGGACTCGCTGTTTCATTTCTATAATTTGTATCAAACGATAGACGTTGAAGAAGGGGGAAAATGCTGAGAATTTTCTGTCTGGTGGTGTGGGGTCCAGGTGTGACTTCCTAAGGTGATTTTGAGTAATGCTTGTTTCTCTCCTTCCTTTGCTGCCGGAAGGCCTGAGCTACAATGTTTCCATAGGATTCGGCCGTATGTTCTTTTTGAAATCTCTGTTTTTATGGCTAATATCAGCCCTGCATTCTGTCTTCCCTGCATGTAAATAAGTGGAAATTCATTATCTATGTTTCCTTCAACGTTTCTGACCAGAGTAGTCCATTTAAGTAGAGAATTCAATTAGTACAAAGCAAGTATTAGCTTTGAGGGACCCGATTGAGTGAATTTTGTGTCATGGCCATGGTTGTTCTAGTCTCTGGCCTCAACTAGATACAAGGGGCGTGGACAGGAGAAAGAGCAGCGGTTCTCTGGCTCTGATACAGTTTGTGTAAAGGCAGTAGCCTCGTCTGGGTGCATGATGAAGAATGTGTAGATAAAGCCTGGTGTTAGAATGTGTTATGATATTTTCAATCCCTCAGGAGTAAGGGCAGGAGAAGCCTCTTGCGGTATGAGTCAGATGAGACCCTCTGCTGCTCATTGTTTTATGTGTCTCCATTTAACTACTGAATAGTGGAGTGAGATACAGTGTGTTCTTTTCTTCCTGCTTCTCCTCTCCACTTCTTCCCTTCCTCTCTTTTCTTCCCCTTTCTGGTCCTTTCCCAAAGTAGGAACCAAATCACAGTGTTTGGCCAACAGGAGGAAACAGGGTCTGTTGATTTTAGAGAATTTCCAATTCTTTCTTGCTTACCAGCATCTTGAAAGGGTCAGCGTCTCCTCCTATGGATCAGCCCATCCATGTGTAGACACTCTTCTGAGCACCAGCTTTGTGAATCTGATGCTGAACCAGGCATTCTGCTCATGCCCCTTGCCCTCTCTGAGAATCTGCAATCCAATTAGAGAAGCAAGATAAATATCATCAGGTAGTGATAGGAAAGCATAGAATGGTTCATGCTTCAGAGCTAAATGAGTGGTAAGAATATTAAGACATGAGAGGATGACGGGAAGAGTCACTGAATGCCCATCCTAGAAGGATAGCTGAGAGCAAGACATGCAAAGATGGCAAATGGTTGGTGTAGATCATATAACAGCCATTCCCATGCCTGAGGCAGACATTGCCAATCCATCACTTTGTTCTTCCTTAATGATTCCAGACCTGGCCCTTAGAACACTCCTCCACAGTGGCTTTCTAGGAAGCCATCTATGGTCAGAAGTGACATGTGAAAGAACACTCTCCCCTTTCTGGATCTAGTCTGACCCCCTTATTTTAGATGAGGCAATTGAGGCAGGAAATTAGATGATTCCTAAGGCCACAGGGGCTGGCATGAGTACAGGTGTTCAGATTCTCCTGTCAGTAACCTTCAACTGGTGCTGGGTGACTGCAATTCTGAGGAGGGAGCAAGGAGCAGATCAGGCCAGCTGGACAGTGATTTTCAGAGCAAGGTGGGTTGCAGGGAAAGAATTCACACCCAAAGCAGTCTCTTCAGAGACTCTAATAGGCAACGGTGGAAGAGCCTACCCAGCCCCTTACTACACAGCAGGACAGCTTTTGGATTTCTAACCTTCTGTGATTTTTTCTTTGACTCTCTTCTCCCTCCCTCCCCTCTCAATCCACACTATAGAGCTCTCGATATTGTTTGCTAGACTTTCGATCTTGCTGAGAAGTAGACAGGTCTAACAAATGTCACAGCATGCAGAGAGACTCATCTGAATAGCAGAGCCTATCCCAAACTTTTTAACCTGTCTCTGACAGGTGGAGAAGCTATGGGGCATGGTGAGGAAGCCAGAGGGTGGGCCCCCCAGCCGAACCTGTCAGCAGGGATCACCTCCCACTCATCCCAGCCCCCTGCCTGCCAGCCTGCCCATTCCCTCAGCCCTTGTTCACCTCTGCAGGAAGAATGGCACTTGGTAGCTTTGAGAGGAGGTTCCCGGATGTGTTCATGGCAAAGAAAAGAAAGACAGAAAGTATCTGGCTAGAGCAGAGCTCAGCTCTTTGAGCTTTTTATTTTCATTCTGTCTCTACTCCGAGCATTGGCCTGAGGAGGAAAATATGTGGTTTAACAGTACTTGGTACATTTTGGAGAAGGAGAGGGGATTTTTGAGCCACAAATAATTGGGAGAGTTGGGAATGGTGGTGCATGCCCATAATCCTGGCACTCTGAGAGATGGAGGCCAGAGGATTGCAAGTTAGAGCCCAGCCTAGGCAACTTAGTGAGATCCTGTCTCAAAAGAAAAAATGAAGTGGGCTGAGAATGTAGCTCAATGTGAAAGCCCTGGGTTCATTCCCCAGCATGAGGGGAGGGGGGAGAGGGAAAGGGGGAGGGAGAGAGAGAGAGAGAGAGAGAGAGAGAATGAATTAGGAGAACTGGAAAATAGAAGGGCCTTGTTTTCACTTGGCTCTAGTTTTATATCTCCCTCCTTCTCTCCATCTTTTAGATTTAAGAGGTGAAAATACAAGAGTTCAGATCATCAGATTAGGGCTTGATTTAGTCAACACAGATGGAATCTGGGCTTGGAAACAATAGAACTAAGTGCCTTCTAAGAAAAGGTTTTGAATCCTTCAAACATTTGGCAAGAATGACCGGGTCCTGGCATTTTACTTTAAGATCAGGCAATGATCTCTCTAAGGAAAAGTCTGGGAAGCGTATTTATTTTCTCCCCAACCCCCACTTTGACTGCACATAGATGAAGGAGGCTTCCATTTCCCTCCTCTGCATGCTCGTGGCTCAGATTTTTGGAGAGGGTTTGCTAGGACCAGCATTTTTGAAGCACCACTGTGGTTGGATGGGATCAAGGAGACATTGCACACTGATGAATTCTTTTTGTGAGAAAGGGTTAAAGACCTGCCAGAGGCTGCCTTCACCACTCAGCTATCGCCAGCTCCCATATTGCCCACATGTCTGATTCTTTGGCTACCAAGGCAGAGGGGCTTAGGAAGGCTGATTGGAACATGGAGGGGCAGTGTATATACCTTACCAAATCCCCTGAAAGCTAGAGAGCTGCTAGTCCACCTGCCAGAGAAACACAGCTCAAGAAATTCTGTCCTGTCAATGATTTGTAGACAGATGGTGTTGCTTTGATGGAGAGAAACAAAAGAAATCCACCACAAGCCACCTGCTCTGCATTCATGCTGCCCAAGGCCTGATCACCATGAATCTATCAAGGTGCTTCCAGGTTGTATCTTTGCTACATGAAGGGAGGCCTGACCATGCTGGCTTTATTCTTATAGGTTCCTGTCAACATCCTGAGCAGCAGGTTAATAGCTCTCTTTGGGAATCTTCTGCAGACTGTGGCCCTGAAGATTCCTAGGTTTTTCTACATAAAACAATAGATGTAGTGGTGCAGAAGTTCAGGGTCAGCTCCTAGTAGGTTCTACTCTTTGGGGACAATTCTTGGCTGATAGAGAAACCAGAGGCTGTGGCTCCTGGTCCATCTGCCTGAGACAGCAGTGGTACCCAGGCCCACCAGGAACTAAGACTCCCAAGAATAATGCACCAGCCAGTTGTTCAGACATTTATTAAGCACTTACCATGTGCAAAGGTCTCCTATAAAGTCTTGGAAAGAAAGTTATTAAGAGACACAGCCTAAAAAAAAAAAAAGAGACACAGCCTAATGGCAAGACAGTATTATTAACAAGTAGAAGGGACCCAGGGGCACAATAATGAAATTGTATCCATGGTTTACCTTGTTCTCCAAAGAAATAGTAGACATTTTAACCCAAGTGCCATTCTGTGCTTGGCTAAACCTGCAGTGAAGAAAATCACAGAACACTGGAGCCTCTGGTCCAAGCCCCAGAGATGTTACTGAGCTGGCTTTACACAGCTTTAGAGAAAGTCTTACCCAAAGTTAGACAGATAAGACTGGCGTGTAGGCTGGATTTGTGGCCTCTGGGGCTTCATTTCTAGAACAGTGAGAGAATCCCAAAGCTTCATGGGCCAAAACTTAACATTGCATCCTCCCTGGTGGGCTCTCCTGACTTCTGGGACTGTATCACTTTCTGTCTATGCCTTGTGTCTGGTGTCTGTCCATCATGCTTATGTTCACAGCTGCTCTTCCCTGCTCCTCACCTTTGTGACTTGTCACAGTCTCTGGCGTGGAGCTGTCATAGTTTTCTTTTTCTTCTCCTAATTGTCCCAAAGGTCCCCATCTGTTTGAGGAGTTGTTACTAGTAGGTAGAAGGATGTGGGTGGATTGGGACTATATATTCTAAGTGGAAATTCAGTTGGAAGGATTTGGAAGACTTGATACTGTCTGCCTTAGGACTCAGTTATTATTCAATCTAAATGACCAAGTGGAGTCAAATCATATAGTGTGCATGGAAGCCAAAACTAATCCTTCAACAGGTGACATCTGCCAAGTGATGGCTAAATACCCAAACACTTTTCATCAACCAATTCATTTCATCTTCACAACCACCCAAGGGGTGGGGGCTGTTGCTCTCCCTCACTTTGCAGATGACAGATGTGAGGCCCAGAAAGGTGAAGTGACTTTCCTGATGTCACCATTTAGCAAGTGACATTATCCAGAGCACATACAGCACAGTATAGCCCCAAAGTCTACTCTCCTGAGCCCTCTGCTATTGTCAGAATTGTTTTTGTTTCCCCTACTCAGTTTTTGGGAGACGTACAGGCTGCCCCTCAATAGTAGCACGTATCACCAGCCGTGCTGAGCCGACTGTTAGGAATGAGTCAGGGTCTGTCCATAAACATCTGGCTTGGACTTCATAGCTCCATCCTCACCCTAGAGAAAGGGCCTGAAGGCTATTCCCCTCTGCATTACCTGCAAAGGAAGAAGAGTCCTAACCAATCATCCAGTTCATTATGTAGGAATAAATGCAACCCAGCTCAATTGATGACATAACACATCCATTTTCCCCTTTTCCATAACAGGGGGCAAGGATACCATACTGTTCAGTGACCCCACTCTTTCCACCATACAAAGGTCAAGATCCCCACTGCTGAAGTTTGTTGAGCAGCCCACAGAGAACCAACCAAGTCCCAAGGATGGTAAGTGTATTGGTCAGCTTTCTCATCTCTGGAACACAGTACCTGACACCTACAACTTAAAGGATGGAGCGGTTTTTTTCCATTTAGTTTATTGGTACCTTCTAGGTATACAATACAGTTACATTCATCATTGGGATCTTGTACCTTTATGTGATGTATCTTTGTTCTTATTTTTCCCCATTCCCCTGCCCTCCCTTCACCCCCTCCACCCTTCCCTACTTACAAAGACTTTGTTTCCATGTTTTCCTTTTCTCATATTTTTTTCTTTTCCATTCTTTCCTTTCCCCTTCCCCTCCCACTTCCCCTATTCCTTTAAACATTTTCTTCCTATTTCACAATATCAATTATACATTTTGATTCTTTTTTTTTGTATTAAATTCTTTTATTGGTACATTGTAGGTATACAACACAATTACATTTCTTATTGGGAATTGTACCTTTACATAATGCATCTTGGTTCTTATTTTTTCCCCATTCCTAGCCCTCCCTTCATGC